AGCTTGAGCTGACTTGAGGGCAGTAATTTGGAAAGTCAGTACAATATCCTCCCAATTCTGAGTGCCCGCTCTTGGATAAAAGTTGTCCAGTCCTGGAAGCACCGCGCTCCTCCAGGCACGGACTAAATGCTGCTGCGCATGGTATTTGGTGGGAGTAAAAGTAGCTGGCCTGTCCGGAGATCATGTTAAATGAGCACGGGTCCGACAAAGGCAGGGTGCATGCGGGGATTGACGTGGCGGAGAAAGAGGCGCAGGCGGAGCCGATCTGATGGCGCCGTGACTGCGCGCAGCTGACTCCGATGTAAGACATCTCCTGGCGCGTTCGCACGAACCTGTCAGCGTCTGCAGTGCTTGTTGCGCTCAGCCGAGTCTGATGGGAAACCACCGACGCAGCGTGGTTGGACAGGCGCGGCTGGCCGCGCAGGTAGGTCCCCGCGCCGACATGAGCGCGCACCGGTGCTTGTAGAGGAAGGAACGGCGGCACCGGCCAGTAAAACGAGCTTGCTGCGGCTAATGTAACACTGGCTGCCGTGTTGGGGGGCATCAGTCGACCTGCCCCTCCTCTCTTCAGACCAAGTTTGCTCCTGGAACTGACCGTGGCTCTGCGCCGGAGTTTCCCAGACGTGCCGCCGATGAACACATCGTCACTGCAGGGGTCCAGCATCCAGTAGTTGCCTTTACCGGGGTCATCGTAGTGGCGCGGCACCTTGACAAAACACTTGTTCAGACTCAAGTTGTGTCTGATTGAGTTTTGCCACCCCTGCCTGTTCTGTCGGTAGTAAGGGAAGTTGTTCATGATGAACTCGTAGATGCCGTTGAGAGTCAGCCGTCGCTCTGGACTTTGGCGGATCGCCATCATGATGAGCGCGTTGTAACTAAAAGGAGGTTTCTCGGGTTTGACACTTTCTTCCTCTCCTGTTTTCTTCGCTTCCCTTTTACTTTCCTCTCGCTTCGGAGGGTTGATATCCTTTTTAGAGCTTCGTTTGGAGTTTTCGCAGCTTTTGTCGCTGTCAAAGTTCTCCTCTTGACAAGTTTTCTCAGAATGAAGGGAAGGAGAAGAAGGCGAGTCCTGGTCATCCATCAGCCCTTCTTCTCTCCACAGCAGACTGCTGATGCTGAAAGAGGATTTGTGGAATAATCGCTCCGGAGTTTTTAAATCCTCCATCTCAATCTGTGCGCGGAGTCACTGCCTACAGTCGAGCTGCCCGAGAAACTGCGGGAGGGCGCGTCACTGAGCGCAATGATGAGCGGATTCAAAGTGGTGACGAGCTTAGGACGCGCTGACCAAAACTTGCCAACACATGCGCATGATAGCGCCAGCACCGGCAAAGCAAGGCCAAGGTATAAGCAAACCCAGCCCATCCATGCAGAGTGTGACGCAATTAAATCGATCTTCTAAACCAAATATGAGCCTTCGTTTTAATATTTTCTAAATAGTGAATTTCAAAGGTTTATTATATTAAGAACAATAAACAGGGTGACAAATGCTTAAAGGGGAATCTTGATATGGTGACAGTTATGCTCAGGCAGTCTGATGATACAAGTTTAGTGACTTTCAATGATTATGGCTATTTAAATTAATTTCTCATTTTAATTTTCTGCACTCTGGTTCCCATTTATTAAACATTTGTGCAGAAACAGGATTGTTTTGATGCTCATTTCAGGACTGAAGACATGTTTCAATGGCGCGCATGCTGTCAGATTTCTACAGCTGAGAAGGTCAGGCTGCATGAGAAGGTCAGGCACTTAGAATTACAGTGATGTGAAAAGATACATTTGTTCTTTCTGTTTAAAGATCGTAAACCAATTTCTTTTTGCCAACCATTTTCAAAGTAAAAACAAAATCACTTTTCAAAACCTGACCCTATTCAGAAGAGCTATTTCTAAGGCCCCAAGTGGGACTCAAGGGAGCCACAGTGATTTCAAGCTTTCACAAATGAAGAAGACATGAAAGAGTGGTCAAGTACACCCAACCCCTATTCTTAAATACCTTTTTACAGTATAAAGTTAGTCAAGACTTAAGCGTAACCATATATTTTTATGTTTATTGGTGCTTTTTTAAATTAATGATTCAATTTAAGGAGTTTAATTTGAAGATCACAGAGATTGGTTGCAGAAATGTTCCAATAGCTGCCGTTGAATTGTATCATTGGAGTGACTTTTTCATAAAATATGAATGGAAATTAACAAAAAGTTCTGCTTATGTGACGAGACAGAGGATGCTGAAGGAGAGTAATTTTACACTTTTGAAATAAGCAACGTTCTTTTTCAGTTTTAGCTAAGATGACATTCTTATTGTGAAACAAAGTTTCTATTTAATTCTGAACTTTGTTTGGCATAAATTGCTGACCAAACATTAAATAGTGCTGTAGGTGTTGGTGTGTAATTGCACACAGAAAGCTCACGTTCGTACATGGGCCAAACGGAGAGGTAACTTGGAGATCCCCAAGTGGTAATGAGAAATCCTTAGATCAAATGCAGAAGTCCTGCTTTACATAACCAAGAAACGGTGTGACCTAATTTTGGCATGTGCAACATTGCACAATGTTGTGCTGGAGAGTTCGTTTCAACGTGATAATTTCAAAACAATAAATTGATATAAACAAAAGCATTTCTATTATGCAACTTATAAATACATTCAGAGATGAATGGGATTCAAATATAACATCTACAAACTTTTTTGTTTTTACATGCAAAACTATATTATTGGTTTTGTTTGTCTCACTCTTAGGATGTTCCCGCCTTCATACATGACAAATGTATTTTTTACTATCTTTTGTTTTTTTTAGTATTGTAAATTCTGCGGGTGAGGCCATCCAACTTATGAAAAGAATATGAGAAAACATTTATATCAAGACTGTTTCAAAGCATCAGACCTCTGCGAGAGTGTTTTCCACAACAACTTTACACCCAAATCTATCCCAGTTTTTCTATATGAGGCCTAAACACATTTTCAAACAGTATAAACCCAAATATTTGTGATTTAAGATAATTATTCTGGAGAACAACTAAGTACACTTGGGTTCCTCCTTCTTCACTAACAACAATTACAGGTCACACCATTGCAGGAGATGCACCCCCCAAACACACACGCACCCCCCCCACACACACACACATGCATGCATGCACCCACACACACACAATATGAAACGGATTTGAGTGTCACAAAAAACAAATTTGTTTTACAGCCAATTTCAGGAATTTGTTAATTCATTTTTCTCACTAATTAACTATAAAACAAGTTGTGTTAAATGCAAAATGTGCCAATGATAGCGCACGGTCGATTAAAATAATAGGATAGAATTGCTTTGGTGACTGAAGCAATGCATCCAAACCTAATTTAACAGCAACATGAAAAATAACACATAACACAATGCCAAGCACAAGTTGCACCCAAACTATAAACCAGAAACTACAACCTGGAGAGAAACAAAGGTTCACGCTGTCATTCTGCATGACTGATTGGTGAACTCTTAGTTGCAATTACAACACCTACGTGATGAGGTGAAACTCAAACCCTTCATACCCTCCTCTCCCTGGGGCTGGATTCACTTTCTCCTTATTTCTCCATTAGCATATGTACATCAGAATCCGACTATTCATGATGTTACAGGTAATTTAATAAGTTGTGTGCTTTTGTACATTTAGTATTGGATTTAAATAGTTTTGCAACCTTATTAACACCCAATCATACTTAGGATAAAAGCAAAAAGTCTCAGAAAACCTGAGACTTTTTATTTTATTTTATTTCACCTCATGATTGTATAGCCTATTGACGTAACCTGTGTTCTATGGACAACAAGCCCAATATATAGATTATTAAACACTGCTTCACAGTTAAACTGTTCTCACTACATAATTCGGAGAGGAAAGGGGGAAAACTAAAGTTAAGCAAATAAGAGATCTTAACACTCTTAATTATGTGTTGACATCCCAACTGATCTGGAGGCTCCAGGTCATCAGCTTTTTGAAACCTATAAACACATCCCTGGATTACATTACATTTTGCACACAGTTGCATGATTCTCTATGCACAAAATAATTTTTGGTGAGCTTTTGCCGTTTGTTCAAAACTTCATTTACTGCACAGAGTTACCTTTACAATATCTGAGCAATAAGAACCAAATGAGCTTTTGAAGAGCTGAAGAAACAAGATGCAAGAAGCGCAAATATTTTTATTGGGTGAACGATGCTACAAAATCATTTCTTTTGTTCTGAAAACAAATATGCAATATAGATATTTAAAAAAACAAACAAAAAAACATCCTTATTCATACATCGCACCGAAACTAGATATAATCAAGAGAGTTTGCTTGCTTGTTTCCATCAGTCGGAATCCTTGTTTGAGTTTCGCCATGCATCTGCGGATATCATAACGTTTCTAACGACATGCTATTTGTTCCTGCTGTAAGTCACGTTGAGACGGAGGCCTCTCTGCACCACCGCTGCGCTGCACAAGTGAGCACTTGTCGGGAATGCTTTTGGCCCTGCAGAAAAGGCGCAGCGTTGCCCCAGCAGCTGTAATCCTCTTGGATGTTCTTCCTCTGTCTATCATATGAATTCACGTCTTGTTGTGTTTTGAATGATCTCAGTGACACCCTGAGAACCACATCGCTCTTTCCAAAGATTTCTTTTGTATGTAGGCTATTTAGCTTTATTTCTGATGCAGATGGTGAAAATTGAGCACTGATCTTTTTTGCGACTACTTTTGGTATTTTTCTGTTGGAGTGTTCATAAAACGACTATTTCACTCTTCTATTATCACAGCTTTGTTCTGGTAATAGCAAGATTTAATTCTCATATTTTTGTACCATTGTAACTTTAGTCTTGTAAAAAATGTTTAAATAAATCACAGCCTCGCCCTTTACTTTTAGGTAAAAAGTAAAAAAAAAGGAAAAGAAAAAGGAAAAGAAACAGAAATCCTGCAGCGATTTCATAATATTTTTTTATTGAAAAAAGTACAACACATAAATAAATACACAAATTCATATTTACCGGCATCCATTATGTTAGAATCAATAATTAAATTGAATGTTATAGTTATATTGTAGCTGGACACAAGTAATTGGTCAAGTTAAAATAGTACAAGAGAAAACACTGAGGTTTCAATGTTGCAGACGAGATCTCTTTTTAAGTCTCATCCTTTATCATTGCTCCCTCTGGTGGAGAAGCACAAACCTTACAGGCTGAGGTATGGTTCACCGTTTGGGCATTACATTACACTACTGACAGGAAAGTCAATAACACAAATAGTCTCTTCATCACAGCACTTGTTAGCAGAACTAAGATCTTAAACAGCAAGAGAATGTTTTTCCTCAAAGTTGATAGGTGGCAGTCAGTCTCGCAGCAGCTCTGAAGAGCCCTCTGACTAAAGACTGTTGTTGTATGACAGTCTCATGGCTGCCACGGCACGCTACATTACTTGTCATTGGCATGAAACAGTCTAGACATTTTGGCAGCAGGAGATAAAAAAAAATATGAGTTATACCTTCATGACCATGGTTAAGGGTCAAAAGAAATTCATAGCTTAGTGTTCCTCTTTCCCTCAGGAGTTTATTTTAAGTTGAGCTTCTCAGCTGTGATAGTGCAGCATAAAGATTTTCTCCAGGGCATTGTGTCGCTCCTAAATCCCTGTGGCCGTACAGGGCAAACTCTGGTCGGATGAAGCCTTGTAAAACTCCAGACATTAGCAGCTGTTTGACTGACAATATTGCCTCTTTGCTTGGAGTGTCATCTGAAAGTACAAGACGAAGAAGGCGGTCTTTATTATCCACATGGTTTAGCATTTATCTCTTCTTTTCTGTCCCTTTGTTGATAAATCCAAAAGGAGTGCTTACTGTTGAAATTGCCCATGAAAGCAATGCCCAGGGAGTCACCGTTGTGACCTTTGGTATGTGCTCCCATCACACCCCAACCTCGGCCCTCAAATAGACTCCCATCTCCTCCAACAAGAAAACTAAAAATAAAAAAATGACCACAACATATGTTCACTTCAAAAATGATGCTTCCTTAACATTTAGAAGAATAAAAGGAAAATATACTCACTTATACCCAATGTCGTCAAAGTGTCTTTCCTTCATATGAAGCCTCTGGATTCTCAGAAGCTCATCTGTACACTCTGTCAGGTCCTTGCAGCTCCGGAGGGCAGTGTGGTGTATCACAACTCTCTGGGCTGGACCTTCCAGGCTCTCCTTCTGCTTCGGGGCCACAGCTCCCCACTGTTGCCTTGAAACTATGTTCACTGAACAGTAGTTTAAAGATCGAGAGACGATTAAAATTACAGGTTGGTTTTTGACTAAAAATAAATAAATTTATTCATATATAAATATATATACCTGTTTGTTCCATGAGGTTGAACACAGCAGCTTGTAAGTGTGAAGACCAACCAGGCAGGATACTGCACACCTACCTTATCAGTTTGTTTAGGAGGGTGTGGTTATGGAAAGTACACCTCACATGTTTTTTGTTGTCGCATGCAAACAAATGGTTACGCAACAGATGGAGCTGCCAGAGTCGTAGTCATACAGTTGCCCAACTAACTGGTCAGAATAAACATACCGGTACTGGAAATAAGGAGGAAGTGTAATTAAGTACTGTGACACACTCAGGCAGAAAAACCGGCAGCTTTGTTCCAACAGATCAGATAGGATTTCAAAAGTTCTTTGGAGTTTTGACAGGAAGTCATTGGTGGCAATTTTGACATATTGATTTGTTTGATTTCCCAAAATAGGAAACTGGACAGGACTTTTTAATGAGTAAGGAGTCTGAATACATTTGTAATGTAATAAAGAATAATGCAAAGACCATTGAAGGAAAACACTTTTTACAAAAAGAATAGTGACTTTTAAAAATTTTTTCTACTCTTCAATTACTTCCAAATTCAGCAATTTGCAAGCCCAATAATCATCAATAATCAAAAATAAAAAATCAATAATAACCAATAATCAATCATCTTTTTTGAGAGTAAATGTGAGATCTGCCAATGTTCTGTCAAATCACCCAGTGATGATAAAATACCTGACAAAAGTATTCACACTCTGAAATTTTCCATACTTTGCCAGGTCATAACTGAAATCTTCAATCCATCCTATTGGAATTTATACAACAGAGCAACACAAAAGAGTGTAACACTGTAAAGTATCTCTAAAGTTAAAGCTAAATAATTTTGAAGACCACGTATACTTTCAATCACTGTTAAGTCCTGACTGAAAATTATTCTGCTACTTTGCATACTTAAGTTTGAGATTCTATTGTGAAATATATACTTCTGCGTGACATTATATATAACCTCTGCATACCTCTGTTCACTTCAACCTGTCTGCAGGTTGAAGTGAACAAAGTGGACCAAGTCAAAACAGTTTCTTATTTGCAAAAAAATGAATTACCAAAATAACATGCATACAACGACTAATTCTGGCTTTGGTTTTTTGAGTCAAGATCTTCCCAAACTTCCTTTTTTCTGTCTTTATTCACTGCATGATGACAAACCCAACATTTTTTTAATTTAATTTTGGTGAGAGAGTGGGAAGTCATGAGCCATCGTAACAGGAACAAAGTCCTTTTATATCCAAACCAGATACCCTCAGCCATCATCTGCTAATCTTCCGACTGCAGAAAAATCCAGAGTTTGTACAGTCAGTAGTGCTTAGTGGGTTTCTTTTGGAACTCTAAACTTTCCTGGGTTGTATTGTCTGCTTCTAGTTTAACTGATTATACATTCATTCAATGTGCCATTTACATTTTGTGCTGCATTTGAGAAAAACATAACATATGCTTTTTTTCTCATGTGCATTGAGTTTGAATATAAAAAATGTTTACCACTAGAAATCTTTAAACATTTCCCAAATATTAAAACAATGCACTACCAACAGATTAGACATATTCAAAATTAATTACAGACTTTAAATTAGACACACACACAAAAATAATTGCATGAGGACTTCCAAAGCGAACTGATCCGTTTGGTGTGAATTCAAGCCGTGATTTCACCACTTGCAGTAATGCTATTTTGGCATTTTTTCTCTTTCTGTATGAAATAACATGCAATTGTCCACATGGAAAAAACATTTTTTAGTCAAGCTACAGTACTGTGTCTTTATATTTGTAATAAAAGGTATTGCAACAACGTTTTGTTTTTGGGAAAACTTAAACAATGTATCATGTAGACAGAAACGAGGAAGTAAAAATGTTGCTGCTTTAAAACTTTAAACTAAGTGTACTTTACTGGTGTTGCTTCTGTTTAGTTACAATCTAAACAAAGGATTCAGTGGGTAGTGTCACTAATCTGGAACTTCAACTGGGTTTAAAATCACAGGATTGTTTTTTTTTATTAATCAAAACATAAAACTAAAACAAATTGGGAAAAGACATCCAACTTAAATTTAAGCATTTTCCGATGAAGGGAGCACATTAATATTTGATTCTGTTGGTTTGTTGTTGAAACAGCGTATCCATTTAACTCTAAATAATTCCCCCCATAGTGATTCAGAGATTAGGAAAATCCATCAGGCTTAATGCGAGCTCTGACTTTAGGAAATAACGGTCGTAAGTGCTGAATAATGGTGAATGAATCCTGTTAAAGCAGAAATTTGCGATTCAGTTGCCTAAATCTTTGACTTTAAAATCATTTCAATTAGTGCATAAAAAGGTTAATCACAAAGAACTAGCAGTAGATTTTAAAGGAGGAAGTGCAAAGACACTGGATTGTACAGTACAGCTGAACTTACTGTTAATGTGCAAAAATGTCTTTGTCTGCAGATTTCATGCAGTCACAAGACTGAGTCATTTTCACTGTGAGTTTTTGGCATAGCCAAAACTTTTTAACAGAACTTTGAGTGGATCAGCTCAGAAACTCCATGTTAACCACGTTTATCTATCTCAAAACCAGTTTTGAGGAGTGTTTGGGTTCATCTGACTAGTAGAAACTCAAACTGTGTCAACATAGAATTTTCAGAAACTGAACGAGAACCACTAAGGTCTCGAACCAAAAGCTGTCAAAATGGGGCTTTAAAATGCAAGAAAAACTTTGTGGTGGCAGCATCATATAGATGGTCTGTGTCACTAGTGGTACTGGTACACAAAATCGACAGATTGATGAATATGAAGGAATGACTTTATAATGTTCAACTTCTCAAATATCTTGAAGGTTAAAATTTATAAAGTAAAAACACAAAAATCTTTTGGATTATACAAACCAATTTAAATGAGCATTAATAATAAAATAATTCAAATATTCAGGCAGGATTATGCCAGAAGTTTGTTGATGGCTTAAAAAAAAACATTGTATAAATTCACACACCATTTTCCCCATTGTTGTATATATGCAATTGCAACCCTTTGTGGATTAAAGAACATCTTCCATGTTCTTCTTCTCATAAAAACAGTTTAAATTCAGAACAGAAGCAAATCTATACCTCATGGTTCAGTATTTTAAATAAAATGTCTTAAATTTAAACAAATGCGCAAAGAGAGCTGTGTGAAGAAGTAAAACAAGCTGAACTTTTACATTTTTTTAAATAAAAAGTTTAATTACAGACAAACCTTAAAAACAGGTTCTACAAAACTAACAAAATAATTGAAACTCATCACTGCCAAACAGTCTATCCAGAAAGTGTTGTCTATATATATAGATATATATATCACCATGAGACGGTTCCAAGTAGGAACCCTGCTATTAGATGCAAATGATGGACCTCTTCATGATTATACAGGCGCTACTCTGTCCACCGGTGTCCACAGTGAGGGGCCGTGCAGACATAATACAAACGCATAGCATCCTGGGAAGGGAAAAACACAGATTAATATCACTTTGTATATATTAATCATTTCAATTAAGCCCTATAAAATTGAAAGGGTTGTTTAATTTATTAAGTTAATGTTAAAATAGTTTTTCCCATTAATCAGTTTTAGTACTAATTTTTCACTTTGAAAGTTGATAATCATTATAAACAGGTACAACTGAAACATTTATTCAGCTAATTGTTCCTTCCCTGATTCAGATTGGTGTTTGAAGAAGAGTAGTTTTGTAGTGTAGTTCTGAACACTGCAATAGCCAATAGAATAGGCTATTGCAGCCTACACTATAAAACTACTCTTCTATTGGCTATTGCAGCCTATACTAGGCTGCAATAGTGAAGCCGTTGTCGGTCAATTAATCAGGTGTGCAAAAACATTTATGTAAATACTGTTTTTGATAAAATAAGTTCAAAATATGTCAACATCTACTGAGGAACAACTACAGAAAGGTCATAAAGACCTCCTTTAAGGGGAGTTCTTACCTCAGCCTTCATACTGTGAGACTGGAAGAACACTGCCTCCTTGTGACCGCATCTGGGAAGTAACAAGCATCAAGCAAACGTTAAAAATGTTTTAGTGAGATAGTGTGACATAAGGAAGAACAAGAATGTCACGCTAGTTTTTCATTCAACAGGAAAATCAGACCAAACGTACATACTTTTTTAAATTATAAAAGCAAAGGAATCTTGAAACACTGTAGATGCTACTCTACACTGAAAGACAGGAAGGAAAACTTAACTGGGAAAAGAAGGGTTATCTGGCTGATGGGAAAGTCTTGCATTATGCTTTTCATTGGCATATTTAAAAAGTCAAATAGAACGATATCTTTGTCACTGTCCAGTAATTTTCAGATATTTGTAATAGAAAATGTTAGTAGTAAATATTGTTGTAAAGACTATTTTCTGTCCACTGTTTTTTGACCATGAGGTCAAATTGTAAAGAGTTGGAAAAAAAGGACATCTTTGGAGTCAGCCCCATGCATAGTTTAGCTTGACACAAGCTGCTTTTAAATCCAGTTTTCAAAGGAAAACAGTTCTCTCAGTCATTTGGTATCAAACCTGCTGTTGCTTGCATACTTTGATTGCTTCAGTGTATAACAAAAATGTTTAGCTTTCTTGTGGGAAAGTGAGTCACTTACGCGCAAAAGTAAACTCAACATTTCCAGAGGAACACGGCACAGACAAGAAGAGCACTTACTTTGGACAGGGATGATCCTCTGTTCTCGGCAGAGTTGGATCCTGAGCTACATCAGCAATGATTTGTGTCAGTTCACTGAAGAGAAATCACAAGATTGTTTTAATGAGCAAAATCAATCATTTTAGACCACAAATGAAAAATCTGCCACAAAGCAAACACTCTCTGATCTGACATAATATAAGGAAAATATAGTTAAAAATGTGCAGTTGTTAAATATTCTAAAAATAGGAAGCTACTGTTGGGTTACATTTTTAAATCTTTTGCTAGTTTTCAAATAATATTTTATGCACCAGAGCTGGTGAATAGAGAAAATTCAGCATTTATTTATTGTTTTGCTAAACAAGGAGCACATTTAAAGATAGATAGTAGATATAACAAAATCTTTATTACATACTCAACCTCGTGGGTGATCTTGTTGACATAGATGCAGCTGTTGTCAGCCTCCTGCTGATAGTCACAGTTTCTACACTGTAGGTTCAACGAGACAGCAAAACGTGTTAAAATCTATTAAAAACTGTAAAAGTGTCGGTATGTGTTTTTACTCTTCCCATGCTAACAAACGAACGAGCGACTAGTTTTTGACCAAATACTTACCGCATACAGCAAGATGCGGTTCTCTTTGTCTTCCTTAGGGTACAACATGTTATTACTGAGAGAAAAAAGGAACATTGTCACCGAAGTATTTATTTACTGTAGCTAAAACCAGCATCTTTATGATAGCCCTTCAGATAGCTAGCATGCTAATGACGCTTCCTTTAATGTAATGTCTGTCTAAGACTCACCATTCTTGACAAAACCGTATTCCAACAAATCCCGGCTCGTATGTACCACCTTCCAACTCCATCTGAAATTGATTTACTAAGAGAAAGAACCTGAAAATCAAGATAAAAGGCGCAACGTCTGTTTATGTCGTGGCTACCATTCAAAAACAGCACGTACAGCCACGTGACGGTTGTCTTGCTTTCAGAAACAGCGCCTCCCAGTGGAGGGAGGACGATCTGCGTTAAGTTTTTTCATGCAAGGTTTTTATGAAAATATATAAAATAACCACACAAACAAGTTTTTAAAACATAAAATACACCGGATTAAAAAAAGAATGAGTACACACATCATAAAAATCATATATTTACATTCAATCAGGCCTTTATCCTCCCTATGTTCAAGCACATCACAAACACTCTGTTTTCAATGTTAATAATTTCAGAAATAACACTGATGTTTGCTGATATCACTTAGTGTATGGCCTAAGATATGTTTTGTTACACTAAAGACGTGTAAGAAGGCTTGCAAGAAGGAAGGGTTTTCTTTGAAACCATATCTCTCAATACACCACATAACACCACACAGATTGGCTCCAGCAGGTATTTAAACCTGTAGGACCTTGTTTCTGTAAGTGAGCAAAACTAACAGTTGTAGCACCGAACTTATAATCATATTCAATGAACTGAAATATTGAAAGCTAATATTTTTAAAATTATTTCAGTGACTCAATTTACTAAATGAAAGAAACCATATAGACTGATTAAACAGGAACTAATTTAAAGTCTTTTTATTTAACTCCTTTTTTATGTTATCTTTGCACTAAAGATTAGGATATTACTTAATAGCAATAAAAACAAAGACAAAATTATAAATAAAATGTGGGCTTAATAAAAAGTATGTTTCATACTTGATAATGTTTTTCGTTTATTAGGACTCATGATCTAACTTACTGAATATGACTGTAATTCCAAAAACAATAATACAAAAATAAATATGAAAATTTAGCAAATGAAAACAAGTAAAATACAGCTATGAACTCGTTGGATTTAAATTGGACTGATGGATTCAGTAACATCTTTTAAAGAGATTGTGAATATTTGATGATAACTCTAGATGGAAAATACTATCTGCAGTTTTTAATTGGTTTTTCACTAATTTAAAAAAGTCATTAAAATTATAGAGGAAAAATATGTTTAATTTTGCGTTATCTTTGCTCTTCTAAAGGTCCCTTGACTTAGCCTACAGATGGGATTTTAATATAGCATTTTGTAGTGCTCTGCCTGTTTAGCAACAGTTGCTGCCTGTTATATATATATACACACATTCCCTCCCCACGCCTGAGCCCTTGATCCTCTGAGCTAATTCCATGAATTGTCCCAATCTAAATCCACAGATGGAAGGATGCACAGTTGACAATGCAGTGAGAGTCTTGATGATAATGATGGACAGATGGATAAAAAAGATCCATACACTACATATAAATGCAAAGTTCCAAGTGTCGTGTTGTCGTTTCTGTTGAGCTTATCTATGGTTTTATTGTTGTGCGACTTCACTTTGCAGATGTACGAGTGACCCAGCGTGCCAACTCATCAGAGGGGATGGTCAAGCCAGACTGACGTCACCCATCAGCCTCTGTAATCGAAAGAGACGCTAATCCGTCTCTGCCCCAAAGCCTTGCAGTTGGTGGGGAGGAAAAGGGAAACATCCAGAGACAGAGAGAGAAAGAGAGACGAAACCAAGCGAAGTTGGAAACAGGAGAGAGTGGAGCACATGTGGGCAGATGGGAGGACATATTGACCTGGACCAGAGAAGCAAAGGGCTGCCTTGACTGACCAAGGAAGACCAAACTCGCAACTGGATCTTCTGTCAAGCTCTGGTATTTATAAAGGTCTGGAAGCCCAACTTCTTCCGGGCTTCGCCCTGGAGGCCACAAGTTCCTGTGGAAGGACAACAGAGGGGGAATGCTGTGGGAGCTGCTCACCTCCTCATGCACCCCCTCTGGTGTCGCCTTTGCTCACCGTGGAGGAGCCAAGCTTCACCACTGTGGAACTATGCCAAGACGGACAAGACATGCACCTGACTGCTAAAGAAGGGTAGGAAGCATGGTGTTTTAGACACCAATTAAACCCTAGTTAGTAAAAAGCTGCTGAATTAGCTCTCATATTATAATCACAACTCCGCAGTTCAAGGCAGAGTCATGAAGAAAATAACTAGAGGTTTTCCTAGAATAAAAGTTCTCGTCAATGGTAAGCGACAGAAATTATCTGATAAAAACATGTTGAAATGTCACATGTAAGTGTTTTACACTGATAGGAGAAATGAAGGGGAAAAATAGCCTTTAAAGTTTAACCTAATCTGAAGTGCAGATAAGAATAATAGAAACTGTAGGTGTCAAATATCTCACCATTTTTTAAGTTGATATTATCTTGGGGATTTTCCTAAGTAGCGGATGCTCTACTTGCTTCCCCTGCATGAATAAGCGACATTTCACAACACATTAGAATGAAACATGCATGTTTGTGTTTTATTTTATTTATTTATTTTACTTTTCAAAAATGTCACTATTTCTAAATGTTTGAATTTGTTGGGAGGAATTCCTTATGTCAATGTGATGATTTTTTTTCATTTGTTTTTAAATTATATTTTGAAAATATAATTTTCAAAATTGTATTTTTTTTCTCATACAGATCTTGAAAAAAGGATAATTGTTTACAAATTCTTATAGCATAAATAAAAAAAAAACAGTGTTGGCAGGTAATTTGACAGGGTTCAAGCTTTAATTGTGAAACTTGAAGTGAATATAAAAAACCTGGGAAGAAACTTCTATACTAAACCATGTTGCATTGAGAAAAAGTTGTTTGGTGGTTGTGAGTCAGGCATAAATGGAAAATCCCTGTGCCTCTGAAACATACAGTATATTTCCACTGATAAATCTAATAGAGACTAAAGTGCAGGATAAATATAAGAACCACAGAAAAAAACACACAATGAAGTGAAAATTAAAGTGTTCTACAAAAACACTGAAAATCACTTCCCAAAAGCTCAGAGTGAATACACAACTGTATTTGTGGCTGAAATAATATTTGCATTAATTCTTAAAAACAAAACAAAACAAAACAAAATCTTATGGACTAAGCTTGTTATAAACCTGAATATCAAGCAAGCTAAACACCTCATGATGATGAATAATAAATTGGTGGAATTTATGAAGTGCCTTTCTAAATAATATCTGGCTCCATCAGCCCATTTCCAAGGCTTAAACTTTGACTATAGATGTGGCTTGCATGAAGAATTTTACACAAAATGTTTAAAATACAATCCTTTTTATTCACAGGAAGCAGAAAAATGGGCTGTTGCAATTTCTCTCCAGAGTTTCTCAAAGCTTGAGTTCCACCGTTGCAAAACAAGAGTGTGTTGTCAAGACAACATACGCTGATTCAACATACGCTGAATCTTTTACAGCTGCAGTGGAGCTGCAAAACCAAAAGGAAATTCATGTTTGAAATGTATATAGATATCTATATAAATATAGATATCTATTAGCTATTTGGAGATAAAACTCTCTGTAGGACAGTCAATGGATGTCCTGATGAATAATTAGTGTGCTAAAGTTTCAGGTGCTGACGTAGAGCAGCGAAATATATTTAGTTTTAGAAAATGCTGTGTTAGCTTCATACTAGATGTATTGGGACACACAGTTCCACTTTTGTCCCATCAGTCATCAGAACTATGCCATCTGGGAAATATGAGTCAGACTAGTTTCTTCCGTATTGAACCATAAACACACTATAATTAATTGAGACAAGTGAGGCCAGCAAGATTTTAACTACAGTTCAGGGCTCTCTTGTGGCCAAATGTGGTAAATGAGCTGTTGATTGAAATAAGTTTTGTTGACAAGCCACTCTGGGAAGGTCATACCTCAGTCCAGCGCCTTCTTTAGTGCGTGAGGAAAAATGACTACATGTAGAAAAATGATTAAAAAAATCTGATTTTGGTGTGAAAACAGGAACTTTCAAAATATATGCTTAACCTTGTTAGTCATAAATGTAAAAGATGACTGTTATCATTCACACCATTTTCTTGGTCACAACTTAATTTTATGACCTGAATTTAATGTAGTGTAGATTTGACATTCAATCATGTTAGACATGGACTGTTTTCTGTTCTAACAAAAGTCTAGCATTTAGTTTACTTTTATTGTTTGTCATAGATGAGACAAGCATACTTTGTGGACGGGTTCAGTCGAATGTAGTGCAATCCATCAATGGGGAAAAAAAAAGAAGTGAGGGTGACTGTTGACTGAGCTGAATCAATGATGAAACAATGATGCATGCGAGGGATTACACAGAGGTTAAGCTTCTTCATCATAATAGCTGCTGAAAGTTTCCATACCAGGTGGCACACAAACAGCTTAGCATGGAACACTTGTCAACAGCACAGTATCAGAAATTGAATTGCAAAGCTGCACACGTTCACAAGTGGGTCAAACATGATAGCATCCTCCCAAAGCCGATCCTGTTTGGACGAGAACAGGGTGTCCTCGTTTTGCCCATTGTGCAAACTGGCTTAGTGTTTGTGTATTGCTCATAGCGAACAATAAATATAATTGTAAAGAATCATAAAGCCTCCCTGATAATTCAAACAAAAAGAAGAACAGATAAAATCTGTTCAGCTTCCCTCCCCCTGTTTAGGTGGAACTCTGAAATGTCCTTGCTAGAAATGACATTTTCCCTTGTAAAAAAGTATGATTAGCCTGTGGTTTCATTACATTTGCCACATTACCATAAAGTTTTATTATGATTTATGACAGACAACATAAACTAGCATATAACTAGAAGGAAAGGGACGTATAGGTTTCAATGTTCTTCCATAAGATTCCCTGAAATAATACTGAGTGTATTCAATTCAATTTAATATTATTGTAAATAATGATGTTAAGATAATTCCTCAGGATGAGGAAACAAGTCCATGATGACCAAGTAGCTAAGAAACGAATCAGTTAGGTGATAAAATATTATTTCTTGAACATTTCACTGAGGACTGTTCAGTCTAATAACTGGATGTGATCAGATGGACAGAATAATTCTCAGTTGGGCATTCCACAAATCTGACCTTTATGGAAGAGTGTCAAAAAAACAACCAATTTTGTACAATACTCTGATCACGCTGTCCCCACAATGACACAAAGTGGTGGCAGCATCATGCTGTGAGGATGCTTCTCTTTAAAGGGGCCTAGAAGCTGATCGGACCTGATGGCAAGATGGGCAGAACTAAATTGTGACCAATTCTGGAAAAAAAAACTCAGAAGGATAACAATCTTAAACATGCAAGCAGAGTTTACTATTTGCAGATAACCTCTTAGCATGTACCAAAGATATTTTCATTAAGGCTTCATTTCTGTATTAAAAAGGTTCTTTTTTTTTAATTAAAAAAAAAAAATTCTATTCTATTCATATTCTAAATTTAAATGTCATGTCGTCACAGCAAGAAAAAAAATATAATGAACAGAAATAAAGGCTTTCAAACTTCTATCTCTGTGTAGTTAACCTATGTAATGTGCTTAATTTTGATTAAAAAAAATCTTGATATCAATTGACTTTACAATAATATTCTAATTTATTGACTGTGTCCCGCATTGTAAATATGGCTACTATCTGAGAAGAGTGACTTCTGTGGAAATTGTGTAAAGGCAGATTTTAAGTCTTAAAGCTCCTTTAAATTAATATTTTGGAAATACAGCATCAATCCTAAGCAGACATTTTGTGCTTCTGTTATTTATCAGATAACAGCGCCAAATAAAAGTGTAACTGAAACTGAAAAATTTGATAAAAATAAGCTCAAAATGTGTTTTTGTGGGCCAATGTCCTATATTTATAAGCATCACAAATAAGTACAGAATAACCTTCCCTTTTCACATCCTCCTGTCCTCAACCAAAAGTCATACAGGTCATCTTTTCAGGGAAGAATTCAGAATATTCTTATTGGTTTATTACCTCACATGACATTAATGTAGCTGTGATTTGCCCAGAATAAAATCAGTTTTTTAATGAACATTTAAATAAAGAGCAAGAGTCAGGAGGTTGGGTCACTGCTCTTGGCGTTATGCACTGATTGGTTCTTATGTGGAACAAACAAAATGAGAAGCAGGGAAAAAAGAAGAAGCAAAGCACGAGAAAGGAATAAATGGAGGACTAGACAGCTCTGCAGATCTTTCTGTTTCCCATCAAGCATTCTACAGGTGGGACATTCACAAACCCATCCATGTTACTGACAGAAGAAAGCCTATGAGCAGCCTGGCAAAAATAAAACAGAACATTCACTCAGATAGGTTCCGAGCCAGAAAATCATATAAGGGGGAAAGGCTGCAGACTATGATCCATTTTAGTTTCCAACCCAGTTTGAACTGTGTTTTCATCTGCAGAATTAATGTGCTTCACTTTGTATGTGGGAGTCATGCTTGCATGCATCTGTACCAGGACTGGGCATCGTGATGTGGGACAGAAAATCTATGAGCCAATCAAAACGCTGCGATGCTCGATGACGTGCCTCTGTGGTAATTGAACATTAATGCTGAGGCACATGGTGGGAACGGTGAGGTTATATAGAAGATCAGATGATTTGACTCAGACTCAGTGGAACTACCTTTCAAAACAGTTCACCCACATTCCTCCTGAAACTTCAGCATTTTTATGCTAAGAAACAGAACTAAGAAAACTGTAAACTACCGCAGATTTGCAAACAAATCAAATAAAAACATGAAGTGAGAGTTACACTGATGTGAATGCAGCCATCAGTCTGAATCTATATTTACATTATTATGCAACATTTGAAAAACCATCATGTAAGCTTTGAGGCAAATACTTTTTTCCACTTGCTGCAGAGAAATTAGAACAATTTTTCTTGTTATTTCCGTTAGTTTAATTTTACTCTCTCTGCAGGGGTGTGCATAAGATGACTGATCCAGATCCAAACTGTGAAGACATGCAGAAGAAGGACCAAAGACTGCCATTCCAGGTGGGCTCTGTCATTATCATAGTACTGCAATGTTGCAAAGTTACCTAAATATTTCTGACTCTTTTTTGAATAGCTCATGATTTTGCATAGCTATGATACAGAATACTCAGTTTCATACATCAGTTTCATACAATATACAACACAGGGATCTACAACTGAATGTCATGTAAGGCATACGAGATATAAAGTGTTTGTGATGAGCTGAAAGAGGGACTAAAGAAAAAATCCTAAAGTTGGGCCTTGGGGGAAACCACAAGCAATGGAAGAAGAGGAAGTTCTGAATTTAGAAGCAGCAACAGAAAAGGATCAGAATGTCGGGGTGAACCAAATAAAAACCTTAAATCAGGTGTAACCTGAGCAAAACAACATTCTCTTGTATGGACCGCTATGCTACTGGAGACTTGAAAAAGAGCAGTAGCATTAAAATAAGATGTTTGGAAACTAGGCTGAAAACTTTAATTGAGGCTGTTAATCCTAATCAGCTCTGAGCTTGAAGAATTTTAGGTAATTCTTCAAACTCCATTAAAATGGAAGGTTATGATCCTAAAAGCTGAATAGATAATGTTGTATTTTGTTGACTTTGTAATATGCAGGAATATGTACTTTGAAAAACAGAGAATTAAATAGACAACAACAGAGGCATTTTTAAGCTTGAGAGCAAGATTATTTATTTTTTCAATTCTTAACCAATGGTTCTTCCAGATTTTCCCAGACCCGATAGAAATTGTCTTGGGCCCAGAGGCGTCACTGAACAGTCCAGATCGGGACAAGGAGCGTCTGCCATCCATTGTTGTGGAGCCAACAGAAGTGAGCGAAGTGGAAAGCGGTGAGCTGCGCTGGCCTCCCGAGAACATAGAAACAGAAGACGATGAGGAGGACCTGTTCCTGGAGCAGTGCATCCCCCCAGCCAACATTGCTGACTGGGGAGAAGATGAGGAAGAGGAGGAGACATCAATAATACTGCAGCAGCAGCCGGGCCTGACACTCCTCGGTGAGCTGGTGAACATTCCCCCACTTTTGGACTTACCTTTATAGTTGCAAAAATTTGATTTGAATCTGCTTTTTTAAATAGGATGAAACAAAGCTCACTGTTGATAGAGAGGTTTCACAACACACTGCTACTTTATCTGGAAGTATGTATTAAGAAACACGTGGAAGTATTTCTTAATACTTCCAGATAAATGATGTAATATTTTGCAAGGAAGCATAAATAGAACATGAAATTTGCAAACAACCTCATTTCCAAGCAAAGCTGAAATTTATCTTCATGTTACATTTGTCACTTTCTGTGGTGTTTCTGATGGACTTCTCACTACAAGGAAAAAAAAAGCAAAAAAATGTAGCTAGTTCATTTTGAAAATAACTGAAAGGATGCACAGCACATGAATTTTAACATTTTAAAGACAACAAATATAAAGTAACAAGGGCAGTTTGGTACTAACTGGGACACTAAATACGTGCAGCCTGAACAACATCAAGACAACAACGCTATAGGAAATGCAATAGTATGTGTAAACCTATATACAAACAAAAAAAAAAAAACTGGATATTTTAAAATATTTAGAAAAGTAAACTCAAATTCTTTTTGTCTGTTACAACATGACAGCTCTAAAATAAATTCCTGCATCAATTCATTTTTAAAAAACAGCTGTGAAATGTTTCATTTTGTCTTTTTTTATTAGTTTTAAGCCTTTGCAATTGCTTAATTAGATACTTATTTTGAGAAATAGGTTTTAAAAATGCATAAAAATGCACACACAGCATAAAACAAATTCCTTACTGAAAATTAAAAGCATTATCTTTCTTTTTGCTTTTTGAAACTAGTTTTAATGCCCAGAATGAGGGATTGCTGCAGTTTTACACACCTATTGCAAACAACTGCCACATCCTTATTTGTGTGAAGCAATTGCTGGAAAGCCTGTCACGCTGTTGAAAAAGCTGGACTTCACTTGAAAGTAACGTTGGTGGCATAAACCAAATTTGACTGCATTGTTTTATAACTAGGACTTCACCAGGTTTTAATTTTCCAAATATTTCTGTAAATTAACTGGACCTGATTAGTTTGTAAAATGCTTTGAGAAGACATTATTTTTGAATTGGTTCTATACATATAAAAAAGCAATTGACAGGTCAACCAACACAACACAAAGAGGGTAAAAGCAGATAACTCACGCATGCTTTTGAAGGCCATACAAACTTTTAATTTTACGGTGTGTAGTTTTACAGTGCCTTGAAGCTCCATCAAAACTTTTTTTTGTTTCTGCAGACCTTCAGTCTGATGCATTTAGAGATGACACCCCAACGCTTCCTCCCAACAGTGCCCCCGCTTTCCACTAAGAACATCGCCTCTGCTGACCTGTGAGGAAACATCTTGAGACGAACTGTGGCAATAACTGTTGGGACAAAAAAAAATTAAACAAAAACAAAAAACAGCTGCAAAACAGCAAACATGTTACCATAATAATGGTTGCCAGGATTTTGATATTTTCTGATCGGGGAAAATGATCATCAAAACACAAATGGAAGATTTGTGGGTCATTTCTTTTCGGATGGTTCATATTCTCAAAAACCCTGATGTTGCAACATTTTTGTTCTTTTCTGCTCCTTTTCCTTTCACATAGTTTAGTTGAAATATTTATGTGCTTATTCCTTCAGTATGTAGGATGTTGTAAATCACAGTATGCTTGCTGCCTGCTGATGGTTCATATAACTTGGAACTGCACAGGTCTTTGACATGTGTTTTTTGTTACAAGGGTTTACTTTCAGCAGCAAAGAACCAACAGTTCTTGAAGTAAGATAAATGTTTGAACCAAAATGTTTTTGCTTCTGTGGGAAACCTAAGTAAACAGACATTATTATTTTAAATTTAAACAATGAAGGATTTGTTCTCTTTCAATGGGAACGATGAGGGTTGTAGCATATTTAGTATTTTAAATATTTCCTGTTTGCGTGTTTGAAATGTTATTAAACTTAAGGCCAGATCCAGACACTACACACTCCGTTAATGTAAAAACATATGAACTTGAAGTTTCTCAAGTAAAGAGAGCAAACAACTGAACTAAAATTAAATATTGTAAAATGTTATTCATGTACTTTAAATGTTGACTAATGCTTTGAATGCTGTATAATTTAAATTTGTAAAACACACCTGAGGCAACATTCATGAGATAAATTCTGTATCTGGTATCCTTGTTATGGAAAGATTTCATTCTGACATGTGAAATATAAACACATTTTTTTTACATGCTTCAGCTTGTAGTCATTTTTAATAGTTAAAATTTCACCTGTCACTATGAAAAATAACATGGAAAACCCCTCAACAGTAAGAAGGGTGTGTGTGATGTGTACGTCACATTTTGCTACACAAGATTTTCATGTGTTTTGCAAATCCTTTTCTGTCTGTTTCACATTAGGAATGTTTCTGTGTTACACATTTTACAACACAATCATTTTCACATGTACAACAACTTTCACATTGAAAATATCATAAATTTACATTTGGAAAGGTTTTCCTCACAGGTTTCACATTTTCTACAAAGTAAAAATTTACATATTTGTTTCAATGTTTTTACATAAGAGCATCTTTGAATGTAAGACGTGGGAAAATGTTCCACATGTTCTTCATGCTACCTACCGCACAATATAATTTATGTGAAACACATTGGGAAATGTTCTTCATTTCAAATGTTTCCTCAATTGTTACAGGACAACATCATTCCTATAAGTTTACACAATAAAATGTTCACGTGTTAAACATGTAGGTCAATGTTTTCTCAAGTTCCCATATACTACACAATATGATTTTCAAATCCAAAAAGTTCACTGGGAAGCAATGCATGTGTAAAACACACAAATGTTCGTGTGATACTCTGTGTACCTCCTTTTTGAAAATGTCTATTTTATTAGAGTAAAATAAATGTTGCCACCGACCACCAGTCAATGAAACTCATAGGGGTAAAGTTGTTTGAGTTTCTGAATAAAATGGCTGGATCACCACCTCAACATGCAGTCACGTTCACCAAAGTCCTGCTGATGACATAATTATTTCATTGAGGCATGTTGAAGCAGAGATGCATCTAAAAGTTCCAGGTCCCCAGCCCTGAAGGACTGGAGAACACTTAGAAAGATTACGAGATTCCTCTACAAAACATATGCTTTAAGAAATGCAATAAACTAAATTATGAATAATAAAGTTCTTCTTCTTTTTCTAAGCAAAATTCTAAAGTGAAATACTCTTCAATACTCAAAAGTAAAACACAATAATGACAAATAAGAAACTTGTCATAATATGTAACAAAAAAGTGACATTTCTGTTTCTTAAATATGTCCAGGAAATGATAAAAATCAGCTTGAAGGAAACGGAAATGTCACAGCAGAAGTGAGAAGAGCAAGAATCATGAACAAGTGAAAACAGAATCCTTCATGAAGAGAAAAAAACATTTTAAAATTTATTGCTGTGAAGAAAATTGTGCTGAGAATTTCTAAAGGACAAAATAAGTATAAATAAAATAAAAATTCTTTTTACTTGTTACATTGTGCTCCTTATGCCCAATCACTTACAGGAGCACTTAAACACCTTTTGGTGTGATTTAGCTTTTAGATTTAGTAGAAATTCATTAGCATGCACAAAACACTATATTATCATGGAAAAGGTCAAGGCAACCTGCGTATTGCCAGCGTGTCATAAGGTTTCAAAACGGATAAACTTGACATTGTGCAAAATGTTCAAGTCTTTCAGATTCACAGATTCGCTATGTAATCACGCTGTTAAACTCTCATTGGACAAAATTGTGTAATGACTCATGTGCAATTGTACTGATGGGTGTGTACATCTCTGAATGTGTGTGTTGGAGTTGCTAAAGGTACCCTTAAATGCAGCCGCAGCTTCATAACTTTCTGTTAAAGAGTCAGGGAGGAACTCCAACAAACCAATCAACCGTAAGTAGGCACATTCATTAAATATAATAGGTTTTTATTAGTTTGTGTTTTTTCGGCGATAATCTACATACCCTTATGGCAATGTACACTAGATTATTGTCTCTAAAATAAAATCAGACAATAATTAATCCAATTAAATGTTGTCTTCACTTACAGATTTAATTTACTATGGAGTCAGAATTTTCCAACAGTTTTGACACTTTTAACTTCTCTGAAGATATCTACCGTGACCTCTTTGAGGGGAATTTCACAGAGTTCAACTTACTTCCTGAAATTCAACCCATACAGATAGTGTCTCTGGTTCTCTACGCCCTGGTGGCCCTGCTTGGAGTACCTGGTAATGCTCTGGTTTTGTGGGTGACTGGTTTTTGCATGAACCGCTCAGTCACCTCTATATGGTTCCTGAATCTGGCGCTGACCGATCTTCTGTGCTGCCTGTCTCTCCCTCTGCTCATGGTGCCCCTGGCACATGATGACCACTGGCACTTCGGCCCACTAGCCTGCACTCTAGTGAAAGGCCTTTTCTATTTGGTGATGTACTGTAGCGTTCTGCAGCTGGTTCTGATCAGTGTGGATCGTCTGTTGCTTGTTAAAAAAGCCGTATGGTGCCAGAACCACAGGCGACCCAAGCAAGCTGCATGGGCATGTGTGGCTGTGTGGTGCTTGGCTCTGCTAGGCAGCATCCCTCAGTTTGTTAATGCCCGGCAGATCGAAAAAGGGAAATATAAGAGGGAATGTATCCTCGTATACTCCAGAGAAAGTGTTTGGCCCATCGCATCCTTTCGGTTTGTGATGGGATTCATCCTCCCCTTCTTTGTCATTGTCATCTGTCACCTGGTTGTCTACAACACCACCCAGAGGGGAATGTCACGTGTTCGAGCCAGATCCAAACGAACCCTGAGAGTCATTGTCGTTGTGGTGCTGAGCTTCTTCTTTTGCTGGCTCCCCCTGCACATCATGGACATTATCGAACTGGCCACCCCTCTGAGTTCTCCCCACAGTCCAAGAATCTACCTGGCTCAGGTGCTGACCATCTGCCTGGCATACTTCAACAGCTGCCTCAACCCTCTGATCTATGTGTGCATAGGGCGAAGTTTCAAAGACAGCATGAACCGCTCGCTGCGTCACATCTTCCACTTCGCTACTGAGGACCCAGCCTCAAAGGGGAGTATAAACAACGACACCAAGAGCACCACCAACGAAAGAGTGATGACCAAAATCTGAGGGATTTGTGTTTACAACCAACGTAGTCTAATTCCAATGGAGAAAATATGTGAATGTGTTAGGAAAATTATTATCTTAGTTCATTTACTTTTATATTGGATGGTTATGTTTTCATATTATTCCGTGTGTTGTTTTCTTTCCCTTTCTTTTATAGTATATTCTCAACTGTCTTTTAGAGTGTTCTCTTGAAGGCTGGAAATGTCTCACCCATTTCTGTGTTAACGAGCCACATTGATCTTTGTCTGTGTCCTGAGAGTGGTCATCCTTGTGTCCCAACAATGGGACATCAAGGATCCTGAGAGTGGTCATCCTTGTGTCCCAAGGATGGGACATCAACGGAAGACTTCCAGAACATCTTGTAGGATAGTGTATTGGTCAATTGTTTGCATGTCTGAGTGAGAAAGCCAACCTCTTTGTGTATTCACATAATAATAAAAGGCAGTTGGGGACTGAGAACAGACGGAGTTGACCTCAGACAGCGTTTGGCAGCGGTTCTCTCCGGGTCGAGCTCTTCTCCCCTTTTCTGCGGAAAAGTAATTTGTGTCTTTGGTTGATTCTTGCAGGTTGGGGAACAAAATAAACCCAACAGAATGTTACCTCTGTGCAAGTTTCTTTGCCATAAACTTAAATTCAGTTTAGAGTCAACTCTGAAATTTATCTCATGTTAGTTTCTCAAACAGACCATGTAAAACAGAATAGCTGACCTCTGCAAAAGGAGCTGTTGAGTTGGGCTCCCCATTGTTGCTAATCAGGATGTCTTGCACAATCTGTGACAGTTTCTTTTCATACTTCTTCTTTTATAGAAAAACATGTTTTATTTTTGGTATTTTGCCTTGCTTTCACATATTACACTGCTATCAGAGTAATGTTTAAAAAATATTATATTCTGCATGACATAAATCTCCCAGTAGCGTTTGTTCTTCTGGGAGTACAAACTCCCAGTAATTTGTAATGGGCAGTTGTATTATTTAAGTTGGTCTGTTCCAGTTACAGACCACAAGAGGGAGACATTTTCTAAACATCTGAAGATAAAAAGGGTACGTTGCTTGTATTGTATTTTATTTAATAAAATGTAGCGTGGATAAAATGGATTCTTTTAAAATATTTTTAAAGGGTTAATAGGTGTTCTATTAAAATTGTGTTTTTTCTGTTTGACGTTTATATAAAGACAGTTTTATAAGATTTACAGTCCAGGTTTTCAAATATTGCATATGTGTATAATATGTAAATATACATGTATTTTGTTTAACACTGTCACTGAAATATTTGGACATGTAAGTAATAATAGTCTTATTCAAAAATAAGACTACTTATTCAAGTCCTTAAATATTTACTCGTCCAACAATTTACTATAATATTTTCCTTTTTCTCTGGAACAACAGATTTGATAATTAAATGTTGAAAAATGAAGCACCACTTACATTGGGAAGGTCTTTTTTTTAAATTATTTATTAAATCATAAAACGATAACAAAACCAACAAAATGTGTACAAAAACGTTGCCAAATAGACATCAAATTACAATTTACATACTACATTCATTGCAAACAAGGCCACGTGATGATATATACAAAAGCAAAAATTTACAAGTGTGTGGTTTCCTGTGCCTGCGTTTTTATTGAGCTTGTGCACTTAGATATACTTTAAGCCATGCATATATGCATATTGGTATGGTAACATGGTATCTACTGGACATTATCACTCAGTCCTCTTAATTTGTGCTTATCAGTAAAGCAAAGTGGTGTTTCTACATATTGGCAGATGTCGACATTAAACCACAAGTATGGAGGGTTGAAGACAGTGGCAGCTAAAATAATGCTCTGCACATTCATTCCCTGTTCAGGGTTTCACAATCAGCAAACTGCAAAAATGACTGAATATTTGTGCTGATTTTAACTGTTAAATAATTGCTAACTTTTTCTCTTTTCAACAAATGCTTTAATTTGGAATTGAAATGTCAGATAGGATAGGAAATATGATTATTGATGAGTCTCCTAGAACAGGTTTATTCATGGGGAAAAGAGTTGGGGTGCACCGATTGCAGCTTTCTGGCCGATCAGCGATTACTGATCTTTTAAAAAGCTTAACTTACTGATTCCAATTTTGACCAATACCATTTTTTGTCTGAAATGTTGCTGAATTGGCAATAATGGGGTGACTATTGTTAACAGTAAATGTGCAGACATGACCTGGTCGGTCGGTTTGTCAGTCAAGAAAAGCACACTGGTTGATTTTTAGACCTTTGCCGAGGTTCATATCATCGTTGGATATGATTGGCTTCACATGTAAAAATCAGCTGATCACCGTTCTCCCAAAATTAATGAAATGTGCACCCTAATAAATTGTGCACCCCTAGAAAATACAGACACGTATTCATTCCCAGGAAAGACTAAGAATTGAGTTGACATTCAAATGCTCCAAAATAGTTTAAAATTTACCTTTTAAGACAATATTTAGAGAGGTTTAGCAAACAATATTTTCTCATGCATATATCTTTCTTCATTTTGATTACCACCATGCTAAAGATGGAGTGGGACGCAGTCACTAGTTGGTAATATCATTCAGGAAGGTTTTAGGTTCAAACTCTTCAGACCCAGAGGTTCCTTATATAGAGTTTTATGCTCACTTCGTATATGAATAGGTTATCGCTTCTCCAGTTTTATCCCATGGGTTTAAATTTTGCATTTTAGGTAAACTGGGGGTTCTGTGTTGCTCCAAGGTCAATGTGTGTATCAATAGTTTTTATATCTTGTATGTGATCCTTGTGATTGACTGGTGCTTTGTCCTGGGTGTACCTTGGTTATGCTCTATTCACCACTTAAGATAAGCATTACCTCCACGATACCGTGAGGAATAAACGTTTGGTGACAACCACTTAATATATTCCATATTTCTCCAAGATTTTTATTTATTTATTTATTTATTTTTTTTTTTGAGAAATGATTAGAAAAAAAAAAGTTATTCAACCCTTGGCAAACAAACTGAAATCTTGGAGTGTTTAGTTAGTGAATTTACAAAGAATAATAGATATGGCACAACATTATTTTGTCTGACAGCTGAAGATTTAAGTCTAATTAAGCAGGTGAGTGAGTGCTTGCATACCTTAAGGAGGTTTTTAATCTGGAAAAAAAAAGAATCCAAGTAAGATAACAGTCAAACAGTCAGCTGACTAATCGAGAGTAATGGTCAAAAAAAAGGCAACAAAATATGTACCTTGTGCATACATGCTAAAATTTTGTTGCAAGTTCAAGCAAAATTAAGAAGTTGTGAAAGGGAAAAAATTAAGGTAGGCCAATGAGGACATGAGAGCAGTAGGACAGGAAAAAAAAAACATCCCAAAACATAGACAGAAATAGGGCCATCCTGTAAAAATTCAACTAAAAGACATACATGTCTTTTAACAATAAAAAGCGAAACAAGAACAACCATCATGTAACCAGAAGAAAGAAAGAAGTGGGGACTTAAGGTTTCTTTTGTTACTGGACACCCAATTACTTTTTGTCTCTTGACATGTTTCAGGGTTCTGCTTCCTTCTTCGTCCGAGGTCTCCCAGCTGTTGCTCGTTTGCTGTTTGAAACAGTAGCTGGGAGGTCCCTGACAAAGACAGAAGTAGAATCTGAAACATGTCAAGTATGTCTGAAGGGACAAAAGAGTGATTAGGTGTCTAGTAACAAAGAATCACTGAGACTTTTTACACATAGATACAATTATTTTTATTGGAACATGAAAGAAGTTGGCCACAAAGAAGCAAACATGCAGAATGGATAATTAGATTAAAGTAGGTGAAGTAGTGAAGTAAATATGTTGTGCTCAAGAGGAGAATGAATTTTGTTTGGTGACACTCATTGAAATTCATTGGAATTAAAATGAATCATCTCTAACCAAAACTCCACAGTCAATGATATGGGGTTGTGAGACTGACAACAGGACAAATAAAGTGGAAAATATTCTTGAGGATATGCAACTCATTGTCACGACCAGCAAACAATTTGCAATCCAGTTGGAGATACACAAAATGGTGTATTACATTGTTCAAGAGATTTTATCTGTTCCTTCTGCAAAAATTGTAATTAACTGAATTAATGTTTAAAGTTTCCGAGGTATACATTACATAGCCAGAATGCTACATGATATTCATAAAATCAATTTTGCGTCATAGCTTTAAATATTTTTTATTTATTTTATGCTGGTAGTAGCAAGTTCTTGAACCCCACACTCCATCGCTGATTAATTTAAAAGATGATAAACATAAACAAAACAAACAACAACGACAAAGAAACAAAGCAAGTTCAATTGCTTAATTTTATGGCTGTTTCTGTTAGCACAGTGTAACAAGAATCAATGAGGAGGGTGCCCATCATTTTAGTATCAGATGGTTGTCGAATTGAAAATGATTTCAACCAGACACAAAGTGGAGGTCATGCTGTATTTTAATCAATTTTGTGAATGTAAATGCATTTCATCAGGGATATGGAAGAGGTAGGCTTATTTTCATGAATGGATTTATTATTTAGTGTAGGATTTGTTGCCAAAAGGAGCAGCCATGAAGATGTTCAGAGCTGTTTAATACGTTCATGTTACAGGTTGTGTGACATTAGACTCAAACAGTGGTCATGACTTTAAGTGACCCTGTTCGGAATCTGAGTATTTTTTTTTTGAGAGCGTGGGAGGCTTTGATCTTGACGAAGGCTTTGGGCTGAGTCGCAGCACTGGCATTGGCTTGTGGAGACGCAGACGATGATGAAGAGGTAGAAGCAAGACGAGGCGGTAGCTGCTGGGGCCACACAAGCCCCCCACTCTCATCCGAATCGCTGGACAGCGAGCTGGATGCCGGGGAGTACACTTCGCTCATGCTGGATTCGGACTCTGCGGGGGCAGCCCCGGCGTAGCCCTCCTCGCTGTGGCACAATGGGGCACGGGCCTGAGAGTCCTGGTGCCAACGCTGGGCGTGCTGATGGTGGGACTGGGAGCAAGAGTGACCTTGACGAGCTTTTCGAGTAGATCTTTTATGCGGCTGTGCTGCATTCTGGATCTCACCCTCATCCTGGCTGAGCTCCAGGTTGGAGCACCAGCGGCGGTTTCCACTGTGGCCCTTGCTGGTCACCTGGGGTGCAGTGATTTGGCTTTGGTTCTGGGCAGGATTGGTTCGTCCCGGACGCCTCTCTGTGGTGCTGTACCGCCTGTCAGAAACTACTCTCTGTCCTGGAAGGCTGTTTTCAGAATGGGATCGGTTGGTTTTGTTGTTTGCCTTCTTGGATTTCTGTCGATCATTGTGATTTTTTTTAGGAGCTTTGGACTTTGAATTGGACTGGTCAGGAGAGGCAACTGGTCGATTGGCCTTTGACTGTTCAGGTTTGTAATGTCTGGGGGACCGTACAGGAGCATGACAGGCTTGTCCTGGGATATACTGAGCACTTACTAAATTGTGTACTTGGTAAACAGAGGGTTGTGGATGTAGATAATGTTGAGGGGATGGAGGTTCACAGCACAGGTCAACACCACAGTTTGGCTCCAAGGAGGGCAGAGGTGATGGCAGTCTTCCTGTCAGGGGGTTTGGTCTGGGCTGGGGGAAGGAGAGAGGCAGATAACAACCCTCCTCAAAAGATGGGGCCTCTACCCTTCGGGCTTCCCCCTCAGGCAGGTCACAAACCCATTCCTGACTCTTAAGTTTTGCCGATAGGTCAACATGGGGCTGACAATGGGGGTCAGGAAGACGTTGCTCTGTGGTTAAAGAGGGAGTTCTCCTGTGTCCAGAGCTGTGTCCGGAGGCACCGCTGTATGTGGGGTCAGGGGTCAGGGTGGTCCGAGGCTGACATGGCCGCGGTAGAAGAGCATAACGCTGGATGAGACTCAGCATGTAGCCTTCCACTCTGAAAGCCTGCTGGTAGTCCTCCTCTGTGATCTGATCCTCTGCAGGCTGCTGCTGCTGCCAGGTGTGGCTGCCAACGCTGGTGTCCCACCGCCAAGAGTCTCCACCTGATCCCTCCTCTACAATGCCCTCTAGTGGTGGGTGAGGTGCAGAGAAGGAACGAGGAAGGCTGGGCCGAATAACTGGTACATCAAATTCCCCATTCAGCATAAAGTTGTTTCCTAATTATCAAGAGAAATGGTGCATGCTGTCATACTAAGCTGAAATTTAATATGAATATACGCACAAACTATGGTAACCATTTGAAACAATAAAAACACTGATTAAGCTTAACCTCCTTACCGGTTAAAAGGTTGGCCTACAGACTGACAATCCTGAAATGTTTATAAAATAGAGTTTGCATAAACTAAAAGTCCAATTTCTACTTGGCCCTTTGGCCAAGGTGTTAGCTTCAACCTCCACAACTGCAAACTAGACCAGACATAAAGAGTATAATCTATGGCTTGTATCTTACAGAACATTATTCCAAATAACCCTGGTTGGTAGTTTTAAGAAGAGCTTATTCTGAGGATGGCAGTGTCCTGGCTACCATCAGGCAAACCACTTACCTAAAGACTTCGGTCTGTCATTAGCGTAAGTCCAGGAGAAGTCAGGCTCAGTGGGCTCAGCTGAGGAGGGTTTTCCTTTTGGTGATTGTCCCTCACTTGAATCATAAAAACCTACAACCACACCAACACAAAGGACATATCTCATTTATCATACCTTCCTGTTAACTTCTCTAAAATATCCTGCTGGGTACTGACAACTTCATATCACATTTTGGAAATAGTCCACAAAACTAATTAACAAGCTGCCAGATTGTGAATAAACAAGACTAGCAGAAGGTAATGAAACCGCATTATCAATACAGTCTGAATAGTTTCAAGATAATTGTTTTGTTTCATAATTATTTTATTCAACACCATGCTTAGCTGCAGTACTAAAAATTATTCAATCACAAAGAGCTTTTGAATTTAGAAAATTCTTAATTACACGGCTGACAGATTTGTGAGGACAGAAAATCTCTTAAACAGCAGGAGTTACCAGAACTCGGCCGACTGTCACCGACGTCTCGTTGAGCTCCCTCACAGCAGCCGTCATCAATGTCAATCTTCAGATCTTCTACCTGCTGTTCTAGTGCCTGCATTAGGCCCCATGGAGCACTGTGGAGAGCGCTCTGCAACACAAAACACATGCAGATTGTTTAACAGCTCTCTCTGTTGTTCTGCACTGTTGATATGTGATCCTGCTGCAAGGATTAAGAAGCAACACATGGCAGTTCAGATATCAAACCAATACTTGGAATGAAAATACTTGAGTTCCTGGAAAAGGAACAGCTGTATATTTTTGCTGTGTGCTTTTCCAGCTGCAGATCTTATTTTGTTTGACATTTATCTCTCCTGAGTGTTTCTACAAAGCCAAGTTGTATGTCCTTTTACTTGATAGATATAAAACAACAAGATGAAACATAAAAGAAATTATTTTTTTTAAGTTGCATGAATTGATAAACAATAGGTCTTCCTTAAATGATTTGGGGATTAGATTCCTTTCATCTTGTGACAAAGAAAGAAAATGGCAAAAATGAATCAAGATGAAATGTCAAAACAAATAAAAGAACAAATCACATGTATATTTTGTGTACCCAAAGTACAAAAATGGTCACTGTAAAACGCTGCTGTGCATTATTGAAGTGAATCCATATGGAGCAACACTATCTGACACTTTGGGCTTCAACATCCAAGGGGGCTCAAATGGAGGGCAGTCAGTTGGAACATGAATAATTCAACAATGTGTGATGGGTAGGGGGATGTACTTTAACTTCGGTGGGGGTGTACACACACGCTCACACACACACGAGCAGATAATGACTCATTCTGTTTAAACAGGCAAACGTGATGAATGATAAGAGACAAATTTATGATGTGAAATTCATTTAAAAACATGTTCTTGTTCAAATTTAGGTTGGGTGACATGGACTTAAATGTTCGTCAGAATAATTATGTGATACCTCTAGTGGTAACAGTAACTGAAAGTCATTTGCATTCTTTTATGGTAATAGATTGTATGGCTGGGACTCCAAGTCATTGCATCATCAAAACACAAATGCTGTTCTTATTTGATAATAACATATGACAAGTGTTACAATAAATGCTCATTCATAACTTTAACAAGATCTTGACTATTATTATGAGGATACAACAGTGTTACTGCATAGCATGCGAATATGTATGTGGTATATGTACCAGACAAACTATTTTTTTAACCAAATCATTTAGTTATTTTCTCTAGAAGTCTTTTAAGTTCTACTTTTCATTTCCAGTGTTTGTTTTTATTGAAATTTTAAATGGCAGACAGACGAAAAGAAAAAAACAAAAGAAAGAAAGGACAACAAAGGGAAGAATAAAAAAAGAAAGAAAGAAGGATGGAAAAAGAAAATAAAAGAAGGGAGGGAAAGAATTGTACTGACAGGGAATCTGGACACACAGTTCCAGTCAGCCTTTAAGCTGTTGCCAGGCTGCGTCTGTCAGATGGTGACATCATCTGACAGACACTCTAACATCTGTAGACACTTGCTTGCAAGCTTGTCTGGATTAGTTAACAAACACTATTGTGTATCTGTGACTTCTGAGGACAATGCATTGACCTGTAGTTCCACACCAACTGCTTGGAAAACCTTAAAACCTACCAGGTCTTCAAAAATCTAAGGATTTTTAACCTAATTATTTTCCCCACAAGGTGGTGAAATCCATACCATATGACTGTAAAAACAAACCAAGGCCTTACAGGTCTTTGGGTTTGTTGGGGCTAATGCCGCTGACACTCAGATCTTCTGTTCTGGTAGGTTGAGCATGTCTTTGTGACAAGGTCACACTATTTACACTGTGGACCTTCTGTGATGAAGCGACTGCTGCTGTCTGTGCTCTAGTGCACTTCTTAGGTCCCTGTCTTTGTTTCTCAGGACCAAATTAAACACTGCCATGAGGAAAGTGACCAATGCAGTTGATGCGATATCACCAAAAAGCTCAGTAAACAAAAGAACCGAGTTCTTTTCCCTTTCTCTTGGAGACACTTGGCAATATTTTAGAGCAGTCACTTGTTGAATTTGACATATTTTGCATACAATTCATACAGACACTGGTGTTTCTGACAGCAAAAAGGTTTAGTCCCAACTTCTGGATTAAAAACAATTTTCTTTGTGAAGTCAATTGATGCCCAAACACCTGTAAAAAGGCATTATTGCTTAATAAGGTGTTGGTGGTTCTCATGTCTGATATTTGAGAAGATTTTGGTACTAATCAGCAATATTTCTTAAAATAGACAGTAACCACCTTATATGGATGAAGATGTTTTATATGTTTTTAATGCCATGTGTAGGGTCAAGATACTGTTTTCAGACAATATTTCTTTTGTCATCGTCCTTGTCACTTCACCTTATGAACTCATTTTGAACTACAGTCTCTGCTATCACTGCTGTCATCAGGACGGACTGCGTGTGTTATGCACTGACGGCAGAGTTTGATGTGTTGGATGTAGAGTCACCGCTATTAGACAACTTGAATATCAGCTGCTCTTTACTGCTTGGTCATTGCTTGCTTCACATATTTCTCAACTTGAGACATAAAAGTGACTAAAGTACCACGAGCCACAAACCAATACATAACTGAAAAAGAAAAGTTGTAAAAATGCTCATATGTGTGCTCTTCAGCCAAGCACTCTAATGTCTATTTGTCCTGCTTTTGTTCCATATGTGCTCATCATGCAAAAAGCCGCGGTTGTAGGGCAAATAACCCAAGCGATGTTTTCAACATGACCTCCTGACCCCAAACACTGTCTTTCTTTGTGTGGACAAGGCTGCTTATTGTCTTACTGTACACAAAGCCCCAGCATTGATGCATCAATATGTTTTGAGTGGAGAGCTTTGCTTCGGCTGCTGTTAGGTCAGTTGGGTAAGGAAACGGCCTGGAGGAGGGGACGCTATTGGAAATCAAGTAATCAATTATTCTGTTTCATGGAATCAGTCTCTCACCACCTCTTTAGGTAACCGCACATACGCAGGGACTCATGTTGACACACTTAAATACTATGGATAATGCTGGGTCCAAAATAATAATCCTGCACAAACAAACTAATCTTACTGGAATAGAAGACGATGTGGTTCATATTAAAACATGGTTTGTTTTCTCAGACTCACTGACAGACCTGACAGATCTCACACTGGCATGCTGACAATGCGTGCACTGTAGCGCTGCTGTTTTACTGCATCCTGTGTCCCACAGTGGTGGGGGATGTGGGAGACAGCAGACGCAGTGAAGCCAGACTCTCTTGGAATCAGAGCTGTTACAAAGCAGGCTAACAAAACATCTGGGATACTTGTATTTCAATTGGAGCAAGTTCATGAATAAGTTTCATTTATCAGCAGAATCATATCAGAAGAAATAAAGACTGAAAAAGACCAAAGAGTTGGAAGATTTATCTTCATCAGCATGAAGGCAGAATGAAAACCGTCAGATGCAAGAATTTGTGCATCTGAAAAAACAAACAAAAAAAAAACATAGTGGGGTGTTAAAAATATGTCTAATAAGTTAACAGCATTGGAATGTTTTAAAATTTCTCCAGAAATATGCAGTGATGCTTAGAAATTTTAAAATGCAGTTGTAGGTTTCTGTTTTGTGTAGAGAACCTCTTATATCCCATAAATGCTGATGTGTAACGCTACATATTACTTCTGATCAAAGTGATGTGGTTTTACTCTTAACTCTGTAGTTAAAAATTAAAAGTGCCCTTTAGACCTAGAGTATATCCAAAGAGGTTTAAGGAGATTTGGAAACTAATTTGTTGAATTTTTGAGAGCACAGTTCCAGTCTGAAACTCTAAGACTTCTGCTTTTTATGCATTGGTGTTTCAATTAACAGATTTTAAATTTAATATACACATAATAGTAAGGTCTTAAAAGTTCTATGTTCCTCTTCCTCCTTTGTCCATCCATCCTAAGAACTAAATGTACATGGCTGCTCACTTGTGTTGTAAAACAACTACAACATGGTCTGAAATAAGAATGTAGAGAAGAGGGGAGACAAGGCATGCAGGCAACAGGCCCGACCCTATGTAATTAAAGCTATGTTGTGACTGGATCCACACAGAGAAGTCTGTGGGAGGCTGGATCCTCACACATGCACACGTACACGTGCACAACACCGACCCTGCTCCCAGCTTCACTAGTTGACTCTACTTATGTTCTCTTATTTTTATAAGCTCATGGTCATATTTTAAATCCCTTATCTCAACAGTATAAATGTTTCTTTAAGATTCTTTCATTCCAGTTTGACAGAGGGGCTATTCTGGACAGATGCAGTGTTTATGTAGCAGAGACCGTGAGTACACTCTTGACTCTGTTCTTCAGTGGTTTGTAGGAAGCAGATTGAGTTGAAAAGAATCCCTAAACAGACATGAAGTGAGCTCAGTTTATGTGTCAGAGATTTTCAACCTATATAGAGTCCACTTAAAAGTTGTTGATTTGACTATTTTCTGAATGAGCATAATTGTCTGAATCTAAGCAGGAAACCAAAGAAACTCAAGAAACTGAATGCTCGAGCGCAAAGCAACAGAAATCAGAGCAGAACCTGCAACTTGTCCGTCACTGATGACTGATGTGCTGCTGTCTTAACACCAGAACACACACAACCTGATGGCTCATCACACAATCCTGCAGAGTACAGCAAGTAATGCGTCGCACAAGCCAATAATAATAATACAGAATCTCTAAAGCACATTTCCATCATTCACTTCTTCCCAGTCATTTGTTTGAGGTTTCAGCTGCATATATCAACAGCAACTTTCTTCCAATCTGGAACATTCTTGTGACAAATATAAATATTTATGTATATTTATCTACTTGCCATACAGCTCTAAAGCTGTTGGTTATAAGTTTCATTTTGGATGTCCAGAATGAATCAACATTTCACCTTAACACGATTTAATGTACCAAAAATCTGTAAATCCATCTTCCTGCATACCCTTCATTTAAAAACTAGTAAAAAGTGTGTTCAACTTAACGAGTGATGAAGACTTAATTGCAGTCTTGATTGATTACATGTTACAGTGAGCTACCATATATATATAATTTAAATGATTTCACTTTGGTTTCAAAAATCAAGCTCTCATCTCCTAATTGACGCA